GGCCTACCTGTCCGGGCAGGGAAGGGGCGAGGAGGGAGCCTCTCTCTCAGACAGGCGCGCGCGCACCGCTACCGCTTCTCCGCCTCCTCTCGAAGGCCGCACTGGAGGGCGAAGTGAAGGAGACGACGCGCGCTCGCCGCGGGCCAGGACCCCGCAACGATGGGGGGCTGCCCTGGTCGGCGCCGGAGAGAATCTCCCCCTTTTCCGCCACCGGCTTCCGCTCGGCGCCCCTCCAGAAGACATGAGACGCTGAAATGGAAGAAGTCGAGCCCACCCAGCGAGCAAAAAGGGAGAGGTTGGGGGGCGGAAGCCGCCTACTTCAGTCAGGCACAGATCTAGACAGCCCTTGTGGGAAGCAAGAAGGGGGCGGGGTTCTGGGGAGAAAGCGGGAGGGAGACCCGAGCGCGGAGAGAAAGGGGCCCGGCAAGTGGGGCGCCGACACGCATGCGCTATCAGGGCGAAGGGCTGGGAGGTTAGCGTGACTGCTGAATGCTTCGTGGCGTCTGTTTTTTTTTACTAAGCCTGGGTTTCATTCTCTCAACTGCATGCATAATATATCATTTAATGACTGTGAATATTTGCTCTTGTGTGCAGTTAATGCACAAACGACAGCTATAGTTGAAAGGCAGATTTAAGCAGGCGGCCCTAGCCAGTGCTCAAGCTGCGTGAGATGAGGTTGCAAAAATGCAGGAATGTCCATTCAGTATTGGAAACTGTAAAGTACCCTAGAAGCACGAGAGAGGAATGGAAGAGCATGGCTCTTGCCCTGCAGACTAACTCTCCTATCAGTGCTGTCTGGCATGGGTGTTGGCGAGGGTATCAAAATCCGCAAGAGAGGAGGCATCGCTTTGCAAACAAAGCCCCCCCCCCTTTTTTTGTACATGTATATACAGCTGCTGCCTGTACGAACGGGCTGTGGCTTCAAACAATGCTGCCCGCACATTCCTTTGCAGATTTTGGCACTCCCTGTGGATGCAAGTGCCTCCAGGAAAGATTCACCTTGGAGTTTATGAAAGGCAAGCTAATGAAGGAAGAGCATTGCAGAAAAAAGTGCAGAGCAAGGAGTGGGGAAAAAGATTACTGTACTACATTTGGAAGCCGAAGAACGGAAGAGGTCCTCAAGGCTCGCCAAGGGAAGCTGTGCATCAGCCTGGTTCGTAGGCACCTGGGCCACGAGCCACATGATTAGCAACAAGGGATGCCTCCCAGACGTAGGCGAACATACGAAAGGCAAAATTCTCCCAGCAGATAGAAACCAAGTGTGGAAGGAATTGGACAAGGAATCGTGGGGTGTTCCACCACCTCCAGTGTAAAACACAAGAGCCCCACAAGAGACATCCTACATCTGGCAGGGCTAAAGGGGAGCCTAATTTATGCAAAACACTCAGCCGTAAACGGCTTTAGTCTGTAGTTCTATGGAAATAAATGCATAATCCAGAACAGGAAGAAGAGTCTCATTTAGGAAGTCACAGGAGCACATCTGAACGCACTCTTTAGCGGAATCAACCCACTCATCAGAAGTGCAACCATATGTGATGAAATGATCCCTAAGCCAATAAAGGAACTTGCAAACCAGAACACAGGGGCAGAGCTGGAAATATCCCCTTGTACCATATTGATGAAACACACATGCTGCATCAGGGGAAAGATAACCAGTGCACCACTACAGGTAGTTCTCAGGTTACAACCACTTGTTCACCAACCATTCAAAGTTACGACAGTGCTGAAAAATTTACTTGTGACTGGCTCACATTTACAATGGTTGCAACATCCTGTGGTCACATGATCACCATTTGCAACCATTTGCTGGCTTCCCACAAGCAAACAGTAATTGGGACTAGAGTTTCTGTCCCTAAGTGATGCAATTACATGACATCATGCTTTATGACTACATCACTTAGTAATAGAAATTCCGGTCCCAATTACTGCCATAACCCAAGGACTACCTGTACTGTAAACCAGTTGGAGCCTGCCAATCTGTCTCCTGGAGATGATACACAGCAATATGTATGGTTTTATAAGGACAATGATCCCTGCTGAGACTATTTCATCACCATTATTTATTTATTTATTTATATTTCAAATTTAGATACCGCCCATCTCACGAAAAAGTGGCTCTGGGTGGTTCACAATAAAACAAATATTAATTCAAATACAATAAGAATAGAATAAAACCAAACACATACACAAATAATACTTCCAAGATGTTGATGATCGGTAAGATGTTAACATATGGGAGCATCTTCAAGGTGCTAGCCACCCCCAGGGTGAGTTGCCCCTTTTTTCACCCCATGCCAGTTGGCACAGCCAGGTCTTAACTGCTTTCCTGAAGGGCAAGAGGGTTGGGGCTTGCCTCACCTCTGGGGGGAGAGTATTCCATAGGGTGGGGCCACGGCAGAGGAGCCTCTCTTTTTGGACCCCGCCAGTCAACATTCTTTCATCGATGGGGTCCATAGCATACCCTCTCTGCCTGACCGGGTGGGACGGA